AAACAAATAGTTTGTGTGTCCTTTTGTCGCGCTCTACGTGTTTCTCTGTGTCATTTTAATATTTTATTATATTAATATCTTTGACCAATAATTTTCAATTTTGACTCTCCCTGAATCTCAAAACATATGCACTTTATATATGTATATACAGAAATATGAACCAAAATAAATGGACCTTTTCATTTTCAAATAACTACCACTGTTCAACAAGTTCGGCAATTTAAATATATTTTGATGTAAATTAACATTTGATCGAGTTACCATTGATAAATTTGAAAGATTATTTTATTTTTATCTTTTTTTTTTGCTTCTACAGATGAGGACAAAACCTAAAAAAACAGAAGTTTATGCTTCCGTGGCTAAAAGACAAATGAACAGTCTTGTTCACACGTAGCTTCCAGCTGATAAATCAAATTAAGAAAGTATTTCTGCCAATAAAAATCGCAACAATTCTCTTTTCAGAGACCTCTTTTAACAAATCTTTTTACTTGAACTTTAAAATTTTAAATTTTTATTTCGTAAAATTTAACAGAAATTGGTTGTAATATAACAAACATTTTATATAAAGGTACAAGAATGAAACTTCCTCTTTTCCAGCAATGATTTTGCGCCTCCATTTGAATATCTCACATTTATCAAATAAAAGTAATAAAAGATTTACCTTTCTTATTATGGTCGATGTTTTGTAGTGTATCTCAACTTAAAACAATCTTTCTGCGACTACGATTAACTTTCGAGCCTGAACATCCAATATATTCAACATCTCCAGGCATGACTGCTTTGAAAATACAAAGTATTTTATGGCGATTTTCCGGAGATTGTTGTTATACAATCTAAAATGGCCTAGACATGTTCGCCATGATTTCTGATGACCGAATCGTGATTGGACTGAAGGTGTACATCCTGCCAGTGTTAAAGGTTATCGCTCAAACCAAGATGTCAGATCTCGATTTTCAAGGTAAGATTTTTCAGGATGGAAGATTAGCACATAATTAACTTCCTGTCTTAATTCGTCTTCCTTTGGTCTTATAGCGCATGAAACTAAATTAGAGCATTTCTGCCAGAAGACTGATATCAGTTGTTTAATAAAGTTTCGACCATCGTAGAAAAATGAACGTTTCTCTATTATTGCAGGATATTGAATCATCCACTTTTACTTGATGTAAACAAATTAAAATTATAAGTAATATCCTTAAGTTTGGAAAAATGAGTTTTGGTGAGTTTGAAAACTGTGAAGTTATTCTAAAGAATATTTTTCCGTATTTTTTATACACTTTATATATTAAAATGGGCAATAAATACACACTTTCTGATATTCAAAGAAGTTAAATAACATTACATGGATAGCAATTACTATATTTAGACTGAAATTTCAAACTATGAGGTGTACTCATAATAGCTTTTACTGCAGCTCACGGTGCTATAAGCGCACAATATCAATAACAACGTGGTTTTGTTCAAAACACTGGAATAAGAAACGAAATATTCATGACCAGACTTTATCAGAGCGACTAACAGAAGTACTGAAAGTTCTCTACATATATTTCAGCATCAGTAAGAAAACTGAAAGAACTTTAAGGCAGTTGAGGAAAGTAAGATCTAATCATTAACTGTAAGAAGAGGAACTACAAGGAAACTTCAGCTAAGACATAATAAGGAGTATTTAACACTCACCTGGCAGAAAGAAGGTAAAAGATGGAAACAGCAAATAGCCTTCTGGACGTGAAAACAAGAAGTAGTAAAGAATAACGTTCTGAAAAAGACATAGCATATAGAGAAAGAGATTGCGTGTGCCAAAATATGTTTACAACATTTCTTGCACATAATTTGTGTAAGGAATTGAACATATATTGAAAATAAGATAAGAAAAAAAGAAGTTCAATGTATCCATTTTTAGCTGCTTCCTGTAAAAGAATGAATCTAGATACAGATTGCAGTTGTCAATTCTCCGATCCCCGCAAACAAACGTTAGCCTCCATAGGGCCAAAGTCCGTAATACATATTGCTTCTCCCCTGCGTCATCCCGAGGAGTAATCTTCCTAGCGACACTGATGGAGACTGCCTCGAGTCTGCGCGCATCGACCCTGCCAGTGGATGTTGTCCAGTTGGAGGAATTACACACTCGTCACCCACGTTCTTTTATCAAACCGAAGAAGCAGAGCGTGAAATTAATAATCAATCAAGAATCGATATTGAAAAACGACCTGGCAAGTCGGTAGCTTTACACACACACACACACACACACACACACACACACACACACACACACACACACACACACATGGATATATGTGCGGGGGTGCGGTGGTGTGTGTATTTGCTTATTCGTATGCGTGAATTTGAACTCGAAGCAGAGACTTGATGCGTGTCTGAATTTGTCGAGAAATAGATTACCAGTTGTTTGTTGGGTCCATTTTTTGTTGCCATCTTCATTTTTACCCTAAACTTCGCAAAAGACACAGGAAGAAAAAAAAATCCACACGCACGCACATACTCGCACACACACACACAAGTATATATATATATATATATATATATATATATATATATATATATATATATATATATATAAATTATTATTTTGAGACAGAGCGTATTTGTAAAAGAACAAAATGAATAGAAAGACAAGAGGAAAAAACTATTCTGAGCTGATGTGTTTTATCCTCTGAGTGCCTTGAATAAGTCCTTCAGAGGACGAAACGCGTTAGATAAGAATTTTCCTTTTTTCTTTACTGCTACAAACATTTCAGAACTTTTTTGCTATACTCGTTGACTTTATATATTTTTGACTGCAATTCTTTTATATAAATAGCTTCCATAATTTTAAGTTTTTGCTTATTATTATTATCTTGATTAGGCACTGATGTATTTTCCACTAATATCTGTCTAATCTGTGACTGTTGACATGAGTGTTGCTTTAAATGGTCTGAGATTGAACTATGATCGTTCAAGTGAAACTTAAGCCTCCTCGTCATCATTGTTGTTGTAAGACCATTGTACGTATTAACATTTTTATCATAAATGCAAGCTCCCAAAGGACATTTAAATTGATATACGATGTTGGATATTTTTAAGACACTAGTTGACGGACAGGAGTTGTTATTGATGACTAGGTTGGTTGTAGTAAATTTAGTATAAGATATAATTAATTTTACTTTTTTTACTTAGATCAGTGGGGGATATATTAGTGTTTATAAAACTTTTTAGAATGTTTTCCTCTTGCTTATATTCAGAATGCATTTGATTACGGTATAGTAGTTCGATATGTTTAGAGTTATTTGAGGACGTATTATATTCATTTTTATTTATATTAATATTCACAATAGGTTGTCTAATTTGTTCATCAACGATGTAATTTGGAAAGTCATTATCAATGCTGGTTTGTTTAATATGTTTTAATTCAGTATAGAAAATGTTTCTTGTTGAAGAGTTTGCTTTGCAGAGTTTATTTAGTTTCGTATAATAGCTATTTTGTAATAGGACATTCAATTTTTTAGTTGAGGGTGCATGTGTTTATGCTAGTTGTTGTTTTATACGGGGAAGTAGTAAATGTAATATTATTAGTGTCTATCAATACATCAAGAAACAGAATTTTGTCGTTGTTAAGTTCATATAACAAAGAGAATTACGATAGGAATAGAGTGTTTCATTGCTTAAGAGTGAGTGTAATTTGCAGTGTGGTCTTCAGCATGAGAAACAACTTAAAATCTGAGCTATGAATTGTTGAGGTCATAATCAATTATGAAAATTTAACTGTCTAGGAAGTATAAGATGATGAAAAATGTGAAGCAGCAATTCGAAAGCGCATTGTGAAAATGACTTCTAAATGTTTAAACAAAATATTAAGAAACAAGAAAAGTTTCTTAAAAATAAAGAAATGTGTGTTAAACTGCTATATAATATCACTCCTTTTGTATGGCGGTGAATGCTGTGTAATATACGCAAAGAAGGAGAAAAGACCTGAAATAACTGTGCTTCTACAGAAGGATGCTGAGAATACTATAGATAGATTATCTAAGCTACGAGCAAGTTTTAAGGAAAATAAGAAAAAAAGAACACTTGTACCTAAACTAAGAAGTCATTGAAATTCCTGGGGTAAAAATAAGGAGGAAAGTGGGATAGGAGATCTTAATACTTTGACATATTGCCTTAATTAGACGAAGAGGGGAAATAGTCTACGAACATGCTTGTGTAAATTGATGGCAGAACAGACACTAGGAGAGACAATAAGGGGACATATATTATTTAGCGTTACGAAGTTTAGGAAGTTGTGGCGATTCGTGATCATTTACGCCCTGATGGGACATAACACATAAAATATAAATGATATTTTGAAACAAATATTTGTCCACTAATATATCATGCTGACAATGATCAAGAAAATTTCTAAACTTTAGTGCAAATTTCAATATAGAATGGCTTTTAACCTTCAGATTAACCAGTTTTGGTCGCCTTCAAGAATTGTCAGCGGATTTTTCCTTAACCTTTTAGTCAAAAGCAACTACCAAGGGAAGAACTATCAGCCGTAGGATAAATTAAATCTTATACAAATTGTAAGTGAGGAAATTCCAAACAAATGGACCAGCTTCGAAGTGGATGAACATTGTCAGCGGATTAGGAAAAGTGATGCTATGTTGTGAAATGAATTTATAATCATACCGAGGTCTTATACTTTTTACCGAAGACAGACTTAATGGTGATTGAAAAAAATGAGGGAAAAACTTTTTCTTTCTTTAATAAGAGTTCTTTGCGTTCACTTTCGCATAAATACCCGAAGGAAGATATTAATGCATTTCTTATCCTCTAGCTATAGACAAAATAACAGAGCAGACTGGGCACTCCAGCATTGTTTGGAAATCAGTAGAGGAGAAAGACATGTCTGAATTCAAAACTGGCTGGGTATGGGTTGGCAACGTTAAATCGTCAAAACATACTACGGCAATCACAGCAGCAACACCTAACGTTCTAAAAGTGGTGTCTGTATGTTCCACATGGGAAACAGTTAGAGAGAGAGAGAGAGAGAGAGAGAGAGAGAGAGAGAGAGAGAGAGACAAATTGGAGAAAGAGAGAGAAAAGAGAGATCGGGGAGAGAGAGAGAAAAAGACAGAACGAGGAGAGAGAAAGAGAGAAAGAGAGAAAAGACATAACGAGGAGCGGCGAAAGTGTGTGAATGAGTTTATCTTTAATAAATATCAATATTTTGTATGTTTATTTCGATTTGTTTGAACCCTAGTCATGGATTAAATTTAGGTGCAAGGATTCAATTATTTTTATCGTTTTTAGAATCACTTAATAAATTTAAAAAAATAAAGTAATAACACATTCAGCGCTTTCTCTATGAAGTGATATGAACATTAAATTGTATATAAAATTCATTCTATTCATTTGAAGTATTTATCCTCCAAATAAACAAAGATTATCCAAAAAAGGAGGGTGATAAACAAGAAAAGAGTAAAAAGTTATGAAAAAGTACAGCTACTAAACAAAACCATTTAATTTTACGTTCCTATCAATATAAAACACGCTTCAGTTGCACCCGGAAAAAAACGGTGTAAATTTAGCAGAGTGTAATATTCTTTATTAGTTCCTGTTGAATGAACGGTGATATGTCTTCTGCTGTTCAGTTCGCTCAAGCAGACGCAACTACGCATACATACGATTTCACACATATGCATGCCAGCCAGGAGAGGTAAAATGTTAAACACGAGGTGATGTTTGTTGAAAGTTTAACTAGTAATTTCGTTTGATAGATAGATAGATAGATAGATAGATAGATAGATAGATAGATAGATAGATAGATAGATAGATAGATGTTGCAAAAAGTGTAGTTCTACATACTATTTAACATGATACGGTACAGATAAATAATTTCATAAAAAGAACAGTCATTAAGAATTTAAATAAATAATTCAAGAGTGTTTTATTAATTAAATAAAGGGTTTTGTACTTACATTTATTTTAATCGTTTTATTTTTAATAAGAATCGAATTTAACAAAGTTTGTGATTTGGAAGTACGAGGAATTTCGCGTTTATTTTACCGAACTTATACTAAATGAAATAAATGTCACTGTAAATCAGAATGAAATGAAATAGTATCCATTTATTTGCATCAGGTCTCTTTACATATATAATCTAATTAATAAGTTAATATTTAACTGCAGTCAAATAATGCGATATTTTTTTTAGATTGATTCAAATGTTTCATGCATTTTATGACAGTTCGTTTTTCATATAGCGTTTCAGCATGCAACATGATACTCTCCTCAAAGTGTTTTCATTGGCTTTATATGACCTAATGTTATCTTCCAGCGAAATTATTTAAAGGTCAAATAGAGTTAATTCGATTAATTTTCCGTCAGATCGTTGGGTTTTCTGACTAGAATACATGTATTGTATAGAGCGAATCAAATGATACACTCTGAAGGCTTCAGTGGAAGGATTTGTCATTCCGGTTCGACGATGCTTTGCTGTATCCTATTTACAACGTAGGAAGAGGCATAATCATTTTCTCTTCCAATACGTAATTTAAATTTACCAGATGCTGGCTTGTAATATTATACAATAATGTTTCGTTATTATTATACATTCCCTGCAAATTTACCCAAACAAAGAAGAGTTATTTACTCCAGTAGAGTTTGTTAATCGTAGGCTATTGAAGGCTTCACTGCCAATTTCTTCATTTTGGAATTATATCAAAATTGTTTTTATGGCTAATCCCACTTACTTGACTGAAAATGGTATTCCTCTGTGTCAAACGAGAAGAGAAAGGTGTTTCCTTTATAATTAGTGTTCCTTTCAGTAAGTGAAACACATTATTCTAGTATGTTATGTCTATCAAAAACTTGCTTACAACAAAGAGCAAAGTAATTTCATATAATCTTCCTAGATATTCTAAACAATGAATAAAAATAACGCTGGAAACTTTTTCATCCGTCTAATAAAATTACTAGAAATCTGTCCTCTTCCCAAAAACCTAACAGGAAATTACTTGTGAAAAAAAAAAACTGTTTTAAAATGAGGTGAAATATAATAAATTAAAAGTAAATAAAATAATAGAATCTATTGTAATAAAAACGATAACAGCGGTTCACAAATTTTCGGCGGCTCAAAAAGTAATCACCTATTTCGCCATTATGAATTATGGGCTGAAAACAGAACAAAGGTTGAATGGTTGGAAATTATAACTAGAATTTGTCTTCTATTCTAGCCGACAATTCTTTGTTTATTTCAGAGTTTAACTTAACTTAATCTTGTGAAGAAGGAATGTGGAATCCTCAATAATTTTCACTTGTGAACCAGACAAAACATTCTATCACATGCAGCAATCTTTTCAGCAGAAATGTGAACGTTTCATTTTTGCATCATAATGATGAAAAATGTGGTTTGCATATAGACAGAAATAAAAAAAAAGTGGTTATCATAAAACATCAAAACCGTAACTCCATTGACAGACGTCCTACTTTGTGTTTGGTGGAATATGAAACGAGACTATCTATATTTCTGAGATGAGGTATTATGTACATTATTTACATTATTCTGTCCGGCCTTCTTCTGGAATGCCGAACCGAACGGTAGACTGTTTGCCATGTTTGATGGATGTTATATCAGTTATATCCTGTTAATTTCCCTCTGAAAGTTCTCCACTGCCTTAACTGGGTATTGAACTCACACTCTTTGGGTCCTGTCACTAACCAACGATTTTATCCACTGTGCCATGTATCCTTGTATCATCTGGGTATGAATTTCTGGGTATTATAAACCTAATGTCTTCAGCAACCATTTTTACCAGTGTTCATATTGCAATTTTTCTGTTATCCTTGCATATTTTTACCAGAGCTCATATTGCAACTATGTTGTTATCATTGCTTCTCTGGCACTCCTTATTACTGGTTCCCATATTGTATTTATCTCTATGCTTGGTCGGCTCAAGAGATTTTTGTGGCCTAGCATATGTGCTGATTCCTTAAGTTTACGAATTTTTCAATGGTGTTCCTTGTCTATGATCTCAACCTGATCCCACAGGGGGCGGTGATCTCCCTTCTCCCTCCATATGTGGTCAGCCACGCCTGATTTTTCTACTTCCCCTCGTGTTACAGCTTTCTGGTGTTCTTGAAGACTTACCTTGTGGGGGCGGCCTGTCTCTCCTTTATATTCCTTTCCGCAGCTGCACAAAATAGCGTACACACAGTCTTTAGTCATGTTCTCCTCTATTGGGGGGGGTCTTATTCGGGAGAGTTATCTGCGAAGTGTCGTCAAGCTTTTGAAGGTTGTCCTGATGTTATACGGACCGCAGATCCTTTGTATTTTCTCTGATAACCCCTTCACATAAGGCAGACAGACTGTTTTCTGAGTGTTGTTGTCCTCCTCCACTTGTATCCGCCTATCCCAGTTTTGGGGGACTGCTGCCATGTACCCAGGGTAGTTGTTACGTTGTAGGGTACTACTTATACTGACCGATTCTTTATCTAACGTCTCTGGGTCGCCACTTATGACTTTTGCTCGGTGTTGTAAGCAACGGAGGATCCCTTTCTTTACGCTGTATGGATGGTGGGAGTTGAAATTGAGGTACTGTCCGGTGAATGTCGGTTTACGGTATACAGATGTCTTAAACCCATGCTCTGTTCGAGATATTAGAACATCCAGGAATGAGAGTGTTGTTACTCTCTTTCTCCATTGTGAACTGTATCGAAGGTCTTATTGAGTTCACATGGTCCAGTAGAACCTGGACATCTTCCTGGTGTGGCCAGAGTATGAAGGTGTCATCTACGTACCATAACCATATAGTTGGCTTTAGAGATATAGATTCTAATGGCATTACAACACTTACAGCACCGAACAAAAGTCATAATGTAAATAATTAAACGAGACGTTCATTACGAGCTTTTGAAACATGGAAGGGCGATCACAGCAGAAACGGCCACAACTTGACAAGATAAATGAATCATTACGTTGAAAGTTTTCTGCTTTGGTGAACCCACAATGTCTGATCACTACAGTTGAATCCAAGGAAAATATAATCGTTAAGTTGGGAGGTTCTTCTACATCCTCCATAATTGCTAGATTTTCATTTCTATTGATAACTATAGCATTTTATAAATGGTATAACATTCAGAAAAAAAGAAGTTGAAAGCAGTTTTTTCAAAATGTTTTTTTTTTTTTTTTTGGCGGGTGGAGGGGCGGTTGGAGTATATTTCTTTGAATATCAATTCGAAAAACTGCCTAAACAAATGACTGCTCAGGTTTGAATTCAGAACTGACCTTCTCTTTGACTCCAACCATGTCTAAAATGGGTCCAATCTGCACTGCTATTGAACCTATAACTTGGCCAGAAGAAAAGATGGATTCATAGCTTTTCTAACAGTGCTTGTCTGAAAATCAATACAACGAACTCAACCGGAATTCGAACTCGGTTCGCCGATTTCTTGTTTCGAGCTGCTAGCAATTATATCATCTGCATTCTTATTACATTGCTTGAAAATCTACTCCAGACTATATGATGAACAACACACGTGTGACGTAATAAAGCATCAAATTAGGTTTTATAAATATTACTAATAAAACGGAAATAAGAAGAAATACATTTGCTATATTCATGTAATAAGAAGAAATACATTTGCTATAGTCATGAAATACATTTAAATGTATCCCGAAGAAATTTCATAACAATTTTTTGATATAAATTTAATTGTGAAAACCTAAACTTGCATAATAACATCAGACGATATATTATCTTAATGTATTTATTCTTGATTAATACTTCTATTTTTAAGAGTATTTTCTAGTGACAATCTTACGAAGTTGTCGGTCATCAAATATGTTGTGGTCTGCATGATTTCAGATATTAATTTGTTCTTCATTTCTTTCATTTTCTTTGCCGCCATCTTTGGACGAGCGTTCTCATAATCACGGCTCTAGTGATACGTATTACCCACTCTTAATTGTCTCGGACAAAAGCGTTTATTAAGGTAAATTAGTCTGTTTTAAATTATTCTATTTCCATTTCCTACTCAAGTTGCCCAAAAGATGCCATTTATTCTTTTTTCCTTTCTTTATTCCAGATAACTCCATCGAGTTTCATATCGAGTGAGTATGTTTCGTTTGCATCTCAAAATCTCAATGAAGTTGGCATTTCCCGTTCTAAATGACATCAGCCATTTTTTATTATTTTCAAGTACTTCCTTTATTCTTTCGAATCGACTTTTCTGTTACAATCACTCTATACATCCACCACTGATTCTTTTATTTCTACTTTGGAAAGGCGTATTTAAACTACTATTATAGGAACCACTTATATATAATAATAATTTTAGTCTTAGTAACTTACAGATAGATTACACTTGGATATTTAATGAACTAGAAAAGGGAGAATAATTGGGAAAATATCGTTAAAACGACGTAAGCGACGTCGTCGTTAATGTGATTAAGCATTAACTACCGACATAATTTACAGTTTTCTACTTTTAGCAAGAAAGTTGGAAAATCGTCCATCGCTCCCCAAAAATATATATTCGTCTTTGTTAGACAAAGGATCATATGAATACGTACTTGTATTAAATAAAGTCGTTTATTTTTTACAATGTTCTGGCATAATGTGAACCATTTCTCTGTTATCAGTTCTTCCGAAAATTATAGCCAGTTCTAGTGCTTCACTTAAATTTTTTAAGTCAAGGTACCAAAGAGGAAAACTCTTCAGAACAATTACCATGAAAATATATAGAGAAAAGGCACAGATAATTTGCGTTACAGCGGTGGGAATGTAGCTGTAGCAGAGATATGCCAGGTCAGGATCGATAGGAATACAGATTCTTTTTTGCACTTTATCAAGAATCTAAATTTGGGTCGGTTGAAAAGTTCATAGGCTGACCAAGATATAAATCTAAGTAGAACACAGAGGATGGTAGACTAAAAGATACCAGAATACAAACAGCTGGCCTGCCAGATGATGTATTCTGGTATACTTGCAGATGCAACAGACCAGATGTAACGGTAATATTAAATGCATAGACGAATAATAGACTTTCCTAGCAGAAGACCTAGCAACTGATTCAATATAATCTTTCAACTTCATTTTAGATGAAAACGTTTGCTCGAAAAGATGCAATGAGTCACTCACCTGGTGATCAGCTCTGATGATGGAATGCAATAAATATTATCTAAATCGATTAAAAGAAAGCAGTTTTCGACACATTTAAATTAACAAGCCATTTTTCTCCTATTTAACAACAGATTGTAGGTCAGTTGATTGTAAATCAATTGTCAATTTGACCTTCTTGAACCGATTAGAATCACCAGACTTACCATTAAGACAGGAATTAAGACATCATAATTGCTTCATCAGCATATATACAGAGTTGAGAAGTGATGATGAAAATTAAGAACAACTTAGGTCTAAGAATATAGCCGTAGTGGGCACCCACATTATTGCAAAAAAGATCTAGAATAGTAACCGTTCAAGTAAAGTTTCATTTCGCGATTTGATAAAAAAATATTGGATCAGTTCAAATTTCGTCCAAAAATACCATAACCTTTCGACTTGTGAATCAAGACCATCATACCAAGCTTTGTCAAACTTCTTCGCGATATCTAAAGCAACAGCCCGAGTTTCACCATTTCTAAAGCTTGATAGACTACTTCAGCAATAGCCTCAAAAGTTGACCTAGAGGACCCAAAACCAAATTGTCAGAAAGAAGGCACTGAGATGCTTAACTAATACGGAGACTGGGACTACAAAAGAGGATTTCCAACAAGCAAGAAAGCCGGAAGCAGCAAGACATTGTAAAGTTTAGAGAGAACAGGAGTCAATATATAACTTCAAATTGTGATACTTAGTAGAATTAAAACGGTTTATTTTATGTTTATCTAATAATATATCAAGAGTAATTCATAGTAGATTAGTTATAGAAAATGTTTACTTAAAATTTCTGACCCGAAAACTCTATAGTCAATAACCTGAAGCGTACGAAACATTTTGTACTTGTCTGTTTTACTGCTCGGAGGTTCATAAGAATTAGTTAATTTGTGAACTGGATAAAAATGTTTCTAGAATGAATTATTAGACGTCGAAGTTCATATTCTAGCTTATATATATATATATATATATATATATATATATATAGGTAGTAATCCGTTGGTATAATCCAAATGAATCCTATTAATAAAATGTGAAATTTTAAAAGATTAAATATTAAAGCTGACTATATATATATATATATATATATATATATATATATATATATATATATATATATTCTTCTCTCTAAATCTTATTATCCGTTTCTAAGATATGGATAATTTAATACACCATTAATTTTGAGGTATCTTTCTTTCATTTCACTGAGTTTATCTCTTAATGTTTTATATAATTTATATAATTTAGATTCTTTGCATTAACATCTGAGAGTTTCTGTTGAACGAAACATCAGTTGGATTACTACTGTTAAATAGGTCAGCCCCTCGTCCTTCCCTGTTCATCTCCACTTCCCCTTTGACCACCACGATACCATGTCTTACATCATCTCCTGAGTCCCCTTACTACCTTCCCTCACCCCCTTATTTTTCCCCGCTGACCATCTCTCATATTACAGTACTTCCAGTCTCTCCTTGATACACCCCGGTTTTTTCCTTTTCTTTACCTCTCTTTCCGTCTTTCCCCTTCTAGTAATTTCTATTACAATAATCGACCAAAATTGACAGTTTGAATAATCCTGTGAATTTTAATTTTTAAATTCACGGGTGAAAATGATCATTAACTAATGGCGCCTAAATTCCAATTGTATAATATATATATATATATATATATATATATATATATATATATATATATATACACACACACACACACACACACACACACACACACACATATATATATATATATATATATATATATATATATATTTTAAAACGTTATAATCTGTTGTGTTTACAAAATGTTTCTACAAGTTTTTCTTTGGTTAATGTCAGTCGCGTGATAAATATTAAACTGACACAATACATTTTTGGGATTTTTCTTTTCCAAATAATTCAATAAAATAATGTAAATGAAATATATATTATACAATTACATATACGTAAACATACAGACTCACACACACACACACACACACACACACATATATATATGCGTCTGTGTGTGTGTTTGTGCGTGTGTTTTTCGCTTAAAAGTGAAAATTGAACGATATTTTAAATGATATTTATTGTACTGGAGTTAAATTTAGGCCTCAGTGTATCCTGAAAATTTTACCAATATGTGTTCGTTACAACCGATTTTAGTGGAAAAACATTAACTTACATAATAATATTTTATATAGATCTAATGGTATAATGATGTTAACATATCATAATTGATGTCCTATTCTATAAATAATAATTAGGACAACTTTTATATCGGAATACTTTATTCGCATCGCTATTTACAGAGCGAGAAGTACAATTAAAACGGAAATATGAATTTGAACAAGAAATGCGATATTTATGAAAATAATATCAGAGTGAGCAATCTAAGAACGACATTCTATATTCCATAGAAAAAACAAAATTATTGCATACGGCCGAGTTGAACTGGATGGAAAACTTGATTTATTTGTGAAAGATCACTGCAAAAGATATGCTCCCATCGTTTTATTGACGCATTTTTACATTAACTTCGTGTTTTTTTTTTTTTATCGGAAGAAGGTTATAAGGTAGTTTTCGATTGACTGTGAAGAGTCAATTTTTGTCAATTAAATTGTTCTGTAGAGATTGTAACAAATGAAAATCCGATCTAGTACGGTGGGTGCTAGAGGGTGGAGTCCCATTTTCACTTCTACAAGATCTGTTTAGGAACATGCGATGCTGTCATGATGGAAAATAACACCGTTTCGATTTGTCAAAAACGACCATTTTTCATGAATGGTCGTATTGAGATTGGGGAGTTGGTCACAATACTTATTTGCATGTACTGTTTCACTCGCTGGAAGAAGCCCAAACTGAATTATCTGCCTGTAATGCCACCAAACTGGACGCAAGCCTGTTTTAGACACGGGTTTTTCCCATTCACAAGCTTATTTCCAGCTCTGTGTGCGTCGAACGTTATCACAAATGATCGATTTTTCGTTGGCTTGTTATAATTCTATCCAAGTTCGGCTCCTTTTCGTGGTGTAATGGCAAAGAAATTGCCGCAGAAACACGATCTAGTTTGTTCTGTTCCGTAAAAGAATATGAAACCCACGTTTCGAGTTTGGAAATGGGATCAAATCATTTAAATGCCGAAAGGCACTTGAGAGATCGATTTTCAAACACTTAGCAATTTCCGGTTTATTCTTCACGGTGGCAAGTGTCGCCTTCATCGACATCGGAAGATTACTCGGAGCGTGGTGGACCGTTTAGATTAAAATCGTCCTGATGAAATCTTCCAAACTACTTTCTGACCGTCCGAAGATCTGGAGCACGATCCAAATAAAGTTTCTGAACGTTTCTGTTGCAATTACGATGCTTACATTCATAGATAATAATATGGCTAAAGGGAAACTTTTCATTCTTCGTCTGTGATTCGCAACTGAACAATGCAAAATTTCAATCTAGAACACACGAGGAATCGACACAAAACAAACTCTAGTATCAAGTAAGTTGCGATGATTTTATATTAGCAATGAAAATCAGGCATGAACCTTTTCTCTGTTAAACATTATGGCAAAATATATTTGTCAAGATATACGAAACAGTACAGGGAAAGATGGCTTCTGTACTGATAGCTATTATAAATATTGCATATATTCAAATAACCCACAACTTTTACTATGAAAAAAAATCACCTTCATAGGAATAGAAAATGAATTGAGAAAAGTCCACAAAAAAGACAAAAATGTGTCACTTCACCGGATTTAACCTTTGCACTGAGGTCATTCTCAGAGAATGTAGAAAGTTGAAATATTATTGAATTACTGAAGTCAACGTGTACAGCGCGATTAACCTACCTAATCAGCTTGCGTAAATGGATGACAGAACGGAAACTGGGAATGAGATTAAAGAAACAAATATTGCTTAGAACTACAAAGGATAGAAAGTTGTGGAGAACCTTGTTCGTCCATGTCCTGAAGGAACACGACACATAAAATAAGATGTACTTTTATATTCATGGCTGTATGTCTCGGTCTAATACAAATTCTTTTTCGCCGTTTTTGTTACTGATTTAGCCATTTGTAAAACATTCAATGTTATAGCTTGTTGGAGAAAGTTTAGTTTCGGATGATCAACGTTTGACCTCCTAATGTATTTGGAAAGTGTATTTCAATGATGAACAAATGTAGGAGACTGGTTTGAAGGAAAGGGAAACCTAAAAACAAAGAGAAACATAGAAGGTCAAATAAAAACTTGAGAAAAGCATTATGGCAAGCGAAACGAATATATTTCATAAGTCTGGCAAGATCGAAATGAAAACGATAGATACAGGTACAGTGATATAGATCAGTGGTTCTCGAGTAAGGTTGGCTTAATCTTTCGCTCGGATTCACTATTCAGTCGGATTATCAGATATAGTTGAAGAGGATCATGGGTTTAGTTTATCCAGTAACAACTCAAGAGTGCGCAGCTGAATCACTTATTATACACCAAAATGTCTTAGAATATCATAGACTGGTAGAAAGACAAAGAGGAAATGTAAATAAAATATTTTGGATAAATGTGGTTCGAGTAAAAGGAGGTGAGACTTCAAGAATTGAATCTGTGAATACAAAGACACAATGAGAAAAAACGGTAAGAAGTAAGGAAGAAAATATAAAAGGAAAAAAACCGAAAAGAAAGAAAAAAAATGACCAAGATAAAAGAGACAGACAAGGAAAGAAAGGCTGACACCAGAATAGGGAGATTAATTATTTATTGCTGTCACGTTTGGTTCAGAAGCAAATTAACTTTAGATAAAATTTTGGTTTGGGCGAGCTCGTTTATCGACGAAACTGTGGAAGTGGGATCTTTCTAAATGTTCTCTCACCTTTTCTCTGTTAAACATTATGGCAAAAGATATTTGTCAAGATATACAAAACAGTACAGGAAAAGATGGCTTCTGTACTGACAATTATTATAAATATTGCACATTCTACTTCTTTTTTTATATGTGATGTATCCATTGAGTACTTGGGCGATTACGGGCATCCACAACTTCCTATCCTTCCTTACGGATTACGGGCATCCACAACTTCCTGTATCATGCCGGAATATACATTGAACCTAGTCTTCACTTTACACCGTTACAGGAAATCAGTTGGAGGGATGATCTGGGATTATTCCAGGCCACCGAATGCAGAAGTATGTGATCTCATACGCGCATCCAGCATTGCAAAGCGGGGGTGGGGACGTGAGCGTTGTATTGATGGATATATAAACAAGCGTTCCAGACATGATTGGGCAGACAATATAAACACGTATCAGACCAAGACTCTGGAGGCGGTTTCAAACTCACTCAGGCCTGACGAGATATTAAACTGAATAAAATGTTAAATAATGACTATTGACTTGAATCTTCAGTATTTGTTTATCATTTGTAACTGCACAACCAATTTCATTACAGTAGCTCCAAGTATTTTTTACTCATCCGCTCTTTTCCTATTTCTTACAAGGTAACTGAAAAAGTCCTTGCCGTTTTTGATTTATTAGAAAAAGAGGTATACAGCAAATTTGACAAAACTTTAGTCCTCAAAAGTAATCCTCATCGGCATTCAGAACCTTATGCCAGTGTGCCTCCAAATGCACAATGCTCTGGTCGGCCACTGCGAGGTTCCTCACAAAGAGACAGATCTCCTGACCGGAACTTCTGGAACCAATGCCGGGCGGTGGGTTCATTCACAGCATTACTCGCAATGGCTTCATATAATCGGCGACTTGATGCGGCTTCGGACAAGGCCAAACTAAAATGATAAACAGAAAATCCCGAACGAGATTCTTCGGCACCTCCATGTTTTCTCACCGCTGCTCGTACTCTGACTGTTTTGTGTGCACAGCATCCTTGCATTTTTGGTGACCTTATAATACTTTATATAGTTTTTGCGAGGCATTTTTTCCTTTTGTCTTTCCACATGTATCGTATCACGGTCAAGAATCTCATTTGAAGTTTGTCGTTGTAATAAAATTTCCTTCTTTCTTTACAGATTTTTTATTTCGTTCTTAAAGATATTTAATTGAATCAGTCCCCGAAATTATTAATTTACTTATGCTGAAGTGGCAATCTGTTTCTTTTTTACACTAAACCTAACCCTAATCTTCTCAGTTAAAACCAGGATTATCTCCCTTCTCTCTCTCTCTCTCTCTCTCTCTCTCTCTCCCTCTCTCTCTCTTACGCTATTATTTCGGTTTACTTATTTCTCTTCGTCTATCAATTCATTTTCATTCCTTGCTACTTGTCCATGTATCGGTCGAAATCAACCATCTATTCTTTCAATAGATTCTTTATTGTTATATATTGCCCTCTCCGTTTTCTGTATATTTCTCTTTAGCCCTATCTATCTTTCTTTCTTTCTTTCTTTCTTTCTTTCTTTCTTTCTTTCTGTTCTTATTCATTGCTTTTTTTCTTTTCTCATCGATTTCTCTTCTAAATCTATCGTTACCTTTATTCTCTTTAACATTCATCGGTTTATATTCTTTCTTCTTCATATTTTCTATTTCTCTCAAATATAACATTATGTGTTCTATTAGTTGCAACAGTTCTGTGAGTGTCTTGGATAAATCATTGTCATTACTAATTTCTTGGTGAGTTTTTTTCTCTCATTCCTGTCGCTTTTTATCGCTGCTAGCAATCAAAGAAATAACAGCTGCATGTTTTATTTTAAATTAACTTGGCGGTAACATCATTATAGTTAGATGGGTAACTGTTCTTTCACAGATAAGATGCGAGTTCAAGACTCGTTGAAGGTGGATTCTCTAATTCATATCAGTGCTGCTCTCTTAATAGTTCCATAATAACGATATAAGATATGTAGACAAAAAATACGAGATAAGTTGAAAAGAAGATTAATTAAAAATTAGTATTTATTATGTTTATATATTCTTTTTCATTCAAACTTCTGAGCAATTCAAATCTTTTCCGCATTACTTTATTTTTTGTATTTTTTTTTCATTTAAATCTCTTATTTCTTCTGACTTTAGCTTCCTCGATTTTTGCATCTAGCAGAAGGCATCACTCTCGGGAGCAAACAATCAAATTAGGAACTAGGTCATATTATTATTATTATTATTATTATTATTATTATTATTATTATTATTATTATCCGTATTTTTTCTACTGTATTCTTACTTTTTTCCCAAAAGGTCAATCTTATTTGCAAGAGCAGACGGTGGCCGTCTATTGTTGTCGAGTTGTCTTGCTCTTCAAAACAAGAAACAGAAAACTCAACAGAAAGAACACAATAAATAATGCAACAAAACAAAACAAATAAAGCAACTTCATAAAAAAAATTCGACATCTTTCCATAACTTTTCGCTAGTCTCTTGGCATCCAGTCATTGTTGCACACTTCCCGTCGTCCTTGGCATTTTATGTGTAAATTGTTCGTTCAATCGGGTTTTGGCGTTCAATTTGCGAAACCATCGATCTCTCTTAGAGAAAGTTTCATTGATTTCAATTCGACTTTGTTCTTAATATTCCTTCATTTAAACAGTCGCTTATTTTTCATTTATTTCCTTTGCATTCTTTCTTTTCCCCTTTTTGCTGGTATTCTTCTTTTTCTCGTGCTTTTCAACTGCCAATATTTTGGTCCTTACTACAAAGATTTTGTAGATAATTAATTTAATCCTGCCCATGTGCAAAACCGTTCGGTACCCAGTATGTATTGAACTCACTACATACGCAGTAACCTTCGAAACGAGTTTGTTAGCCTATGCTCTACGGCAAGCACGCTAGAATAAATTCTATGTATCACTAAGATATACTTTTTTACTTTTTGTTTCGAATAATATCTTAGGTTAATTTGCAGACGAAACAATCATAATTTACCAATGATTTAAGAATTAAAATTCCCCAGATTTATTTTCTCTTCATAAATACAATTCCCGGACCAGAAAAAATCTCAGTAGTAAGACCTTAAGAATAATGTTAAGCGTCGTGTCTAATTTATACATCACTATATTTTACAAACTTCTCTGTTTTGGCATTTACAGAGGCCACATATATAAATGTCGCTGTCTTTGGTATGGCATTGCGTATCTCGGATATCACCAGAAAGGACATTTGATATATCAAATGCATCCAAGTTTTAGACGATTCAAAAACTACTCGACGACAAACTTAATAAAAAAAGAAAATCTTAAAGATACGATTGAAAGGTACGCGAAAAAGGAGAAGCATTTCCAAGTTGAATGTTGCACTAAAGCATCGCTGGCTAATTTATATATATATACTATCAACGTTATATTTAATGAATGCACATAGTTGTGTAGGCATCAACATTTTTTAAACTGAAATTATGAACAAGCAGTCGAGAGATCGAGGACCTATTAAAGAAAATTTGGTTCACAACATTAATTGAATCATTAAGCCCTTTTACTATCACAAAAACCACTTTTAAGTCCAGTGTGCATTAACAATTAGGCTACGAGAAACCATCATGACAAAGCAATAATCAACTACTCATTTAATAAATGCATATCTCATTGGAAATCTGTATTGACTAAATTGATTTTTGTATACAGGGAGGCACCGTGGATAGCGGCTTGGAGTGAGAAATCGGAGAGCCGAGTTACGTGCTAATACCTTTGGGAAAGGTGTTAATCCTCCTCTTCTCTCTCCAGTTATGGTTAAATAGCAGGACAGACCGGGTTCTATAGCCTTGTACAGCCACTGATCTACTGCAGAAAGAAATGGCAACCTACTGCGGAAAAAAATCTGCCTCGTCATATATATATATATATACATATATCTGCCTCGTCATATATATATATATACATATATATATATATACTTAATACACCAACAGCACTACTCGGTGCTTCATGCACTTTGCAATCATCAGGTAGAAATGAACTGGCCGTTATATACATATATATATGACTTGGGATCAAATAAACATTTATAATTTTAACATGTTTCGGTTTTAATGAAGCTTCAACAGAAAATTAAATATGGAGGAAATAAAAGAAAATTCACATTATTATTTGAATTCCACAGAGACAAACTAGGCAAGCACATAAGCACAGGAATTATACAAATGAACTGTGCTTGACAGAACAGATGTACGTGAAGTCTGCTTAACTAATGACAAACAAACAACGCAACAATGAAAAATACCAGAAATTCTTTTCTTCTAACATATTATATTATCGCCATGTTAAATTTATTTTTTATAAAATAAACGTCTCCTATTTCTTCCTTATTCTATCATATTATATATATATATATATATATATATATATATATATATATATATATATATATATATATATATATGCGTGTGCGTGCGTGCGTGTAAAATATGAATGTAATAATAATCATCATCGATATATAACAAAGTGATAAATAATAATCAATGTAATGTAATTAACGACCAACACCAGTAAATAGCTACAAATAATCTTATTCAGATCCACAATCATTCCTACACGGATAGATAGATAGATAGATAGATAGATAGATAGTGGAATATTCGTGTAAAGGTCTACAAAGACCAAATTCTGACTCCACTGAGACCGACCGATTTAACGCAACCATCAAGTAAACACACATACGCGCACACCAAACACTCCACACAACCAATACATAAAGTCACGAGCAGGAATAGACACACACACACACACACACACACACACACACACACACACACACACACACACACACACACTCAGAAGCATACATGCACATGTCTGTATCAATATGGGCAAGTGCCTATTTAACATTTGTCTAATATATATATATATATATATATATATATATATATATATATATATATATATATATATGTCTATTCGCGTGAACATGGTAACTGAGACCAAAATTTTATATATATATAAAACACATACAAATGCA